TGCAAAATGAAGTTCTTTTAAATGCTGAAGTGGCAAATTTGAAACAAATTGAAAATTAATCTTTTGAAAAGATTCGTTTTTTATTGATAAATTTCCCTCTTTGTTAACAATTAAAGAAAATGAATGCCATAATGATGCTTTAGATGAACTACAGAACCAATTTTCTGCTGCACATTTTGAAGGCTTTGCCAGTTCTGGAGAAGATAGACTTGATGTCCTCGTTGGTACCGTAAAAAGAATAAAAAGAGCTGATGGAACACCGAAATATGATAGAATAGCAAGAGTTTTATGTGCTATTCTCGTAATTCCACACAGTAATGCTGAGTGCGAGAGAGTCTTCAGTGTTGTGAAGAAAAACAAAACTATGTTTCGTTCTTCAATTTCACCAAAAACTCTAGAAAACATTTTAATTGCTAAATGTTATGAGGAAACTAATTGTTATGACAGGAAATTTACCAAAGAATTTTTGGCTAAAGCATTTTTGGCATTAAAGAATTTTTGGCATTTTTTGGCTAAAGCCAAAAAATGCACTCTAAATTCATTGCAATAATTTTTTTGTGTAACATTAAGTTCTTGTTTTATGTTTCCTAATAATTTTTTTAGTTACTACTTAATTAAGATTTACTAATGTAAGTACAATTTTCTTTTTTCTATTTGTATAAGTTGCTTATTTTTTAATATCAAAGCATGATATTAATTCTTCGTGTTCTTCTGAATTTTGGAGAAATCTTCTGAATTTTTATCTTTAGAGGTTGGCAGGTATGCATGTTTAACCCAGTCAGATGTACCAACCATTTGTAACTTGTGTCATCAATCTAATTGATGTGTTTTATATGTGATTATCAGTGCCTGTCCACTTGCAACACTTATAACTTGACAAAGATATATGCATAGGTTATTCGGAAAGTAAGATCCGATTTCTTATAAAGCATAAATCATCACAGATTTTTTTTTTTTTTTTTTTTTTGAAAAATAAGTTATTTTTATACATATTTCTCTATGTTTAAACAAAACTCCAGACGTCAGAAGGCCATCTCACTTATACTGTATTGAACATCTAAGTTTAGTCAGAGTAGCGCAATAAGCACCTGCATTTATTGTTTTCTCTTCTTGCATAAACTCGACTAACAAGACCTCCATGTCTATCCCAAAACTTAGTTGCCATAATCTTGCATGCTGAGATTGTTTGCTTTGGCCTTGACTCTTGACTGTTGATACTGTGTGGCGTCATTCCATTGACTGACATTTATACTCTGGGTTCATGTGAGAAACTCATGTCTTATCCTCTGTGATCGATTCAAAAATCAAGAGCACAAGCAATTTTTTTAATTTGGTGTTCTTCAGTAAGCTGCCTAGAAACCCAGTGTGTTCTTGATTTGTGGAAAAGCAATTTTTCAGTGACAGTTTTGTGTAAAATTGTTCTACCTATATTTAGAAATTACAATGCTAAAGCTGAAATTTTGAATCATCAGTTTTTTTTTTTTTTTTTTTTTAAGAATCTTTTCATCCATGACATTGACCAAACCTTCTGTAATCACTGATGGTCTGCCTGATTGCAGTTCATCATGGACATTTTCCCATCCATCCTTGAAAGCTGTCACCCTTTTTACATCTTTGGCTGTCACTCATCACACTGAGGCCATACACATTGCTTATCTTTTGATTAATTTCCGCTGCTGAAACATTCCTTGCTGTCAAAAATGAATCACTTGACCATATTTCATAGTTAGCTGGATGATCAATTGTTTTAAACATTTTGAACTAATGCTATACACAGCATACTTTACCAATGTAAATGGTACTGTTTGACGAGCAAGGCATGCTGGAAGACGGTCCATGTGCACATTTGAATGTTTGCATGGCAATCAATTAGTCATGATTTTTTTATTAAAGAAACACAATAAGTTCCCTATGTACCACATAGTATCATATGGGGCTTACAGAAGTAAGTATGAAACACAATACAAAATAAACAGAAGAAAAAACTGAAATAAAATTAAGGATGATTACAAAGTTTCACAATGAATTGACAAAAAGTGTTAAAAGCACTTCTGTCGGAAATAAATTGGTAAAATTCTGGAGGCCAGTTAATATTAAAATTTTTCAGTTCCAGTTTCAAGACTTTTCTTTCATTCTTATATTTAGGATATAGGAAAAGCACACGTTCAACATTCTCCTCTCTTCCAAGGCTGCAATCACAGACAGAATCGGAGCTCAACTTAAATCTGTTCAAATAACTTTTGAAATTTTCATGGCCAGTAAGAAATTGGGTTAATTTATAGTTTGTGAAGAAGTGATGACATGACAATCTCATCTTGATAGAAGGGGGAAATCTCTTAGTTAAGCTCCCTTTATTTGAAATTAAGGAATTTGTGGTTCCACGACTCCACAATATTTTCATACACGACCTTATAAAAGGAATTAGGGATATTGACAAAAGTGTCAATTTCCCGCTTAGTCGCAGCCTTAGCAAGGAAATCGGCTCGTTCGTTCCCAACAACATCTGTATGACCACGAACAAATGAAAATGCAACCGAAATATTTTTATCTTTTAGGTTTTTCAGTTTTTTTTTTTTTTTTTTTTTTTTTTTTAAATCTCAATAATGATATTATTAGAAGAAGAAATAGATTTTAAGATCTCCAAGGATGAAAGGGAATCAGTACAAATGAGAAAATGAGATAGTCTGAAACAGCACTATTTTTTTCAGAGACCCATTTTATGGCGAAGTGTAAGCACAAAAGTTCAGCTATAAAAACAGTACATTTATCTCTAATTCTAAATTGAAAGTGCTCAAATTCAAGACCATTTTTGAGGACAACAAGTGCGAGACCAACCTTGCCATCAATTTTGCTGCCATCAGTATAGCAAGTTACAGGCGAATCATCTACGATTTTATTGCTAAACTGAATAAAATTAACAGCATTTCTTTCTGAAGGATGAGGAAGATCAGATGGAGGTAAAATACAATCATGCTGAAAGACAGCAGAAGCAGAAATATTTTCCTTATAAGCAATAGAATGAAAAATGGCAATGTCGGAGGAAAGCCAAAAATTGCATAAACAGACTGGTAGCTAATGGTATGATATCCACATATGACCCGCAGAAGTATTCGCCTTTGAACGCATCGTAAATATCTATAATTTATCTTCTTGAGCGATATACCCCCGACTTTAGAGCCATACATAATGAAGAGTGCAATTCCTTGTTTATAGATGAGCGATTGAACATTGTAATTAATACTGTATGCGTTGCGTGCAAACTGACCTAATACATGTAATTTATCACATTTCTCTGATACATAACTTAAGTTTTGATTCCAAGAAAATTTACAGTCGAGAAAAACCCCAAGATATTTCATTTGCTTTAACCACAGTCAAATTGGTGCCGTCGAGAGATATCTGAAATGCATCATAACAGATGTTTCTCTTTTCAATAATCTTAACCCTGGTTTTATCAGGATTAAATTCTAATTTAAATCCTTTTGACCATTCGGAGGCGAGATTTTAAGTTTCTTGTGCCTGTAAAAAAGTAGCAGGTCCCTACTCTGGAACCAAAACAAGACATCATCCGCAAAGGCTATACTATCACAACAACCAAGATTTTCCAGTTTTGATAGATCATTAATAATAATATTTCAAATCGTAGGTCCTAAAACTGAGTCTTGAGGGCAATCCCTTTTAAGGTGACGGATTGCAGAAGCCGAGCCCAATTGCAGTTTGGCCATCCGATCTTTTAAAAATTCAGCAGCAAGTGAAAAAATATTCATTGGAAGTTCCACTTTTTTGAGACGATTTAGAATACAAAGCCACCACGCATAGTCGAAGGCGTCCTTAATAAGTTATGATTGAACCTTAGTTTCCGAGTAACCCCCATATTTTATATAGTATATAGTAGGTCTAACCCATCTCTCTCTCTATATATATGTATATATATGATTGTCATTGAACATGTTTTTGCTCATTTATCTTATTTGCACATTCTATATGAATAAATATCTACTGCTATGACTTCAGTAGCACATAATGATAATTATTTGCTATTGAATGATCACAATTTACAATTTACAGAATTTAATTAGTCTTTGTACTGTTAGATTCACTTCTACAATTATGCTTTAATGTTGAACATCAGTGTATATGTATAAAACATATAGTTTTGTTATCATATCTTCTAATTTGGTGTCTCTGGTTTTGCTCATCCAAGGTTTCTAAGGGTCCCTCAAAAAGATATCTCACCACTTAATTTTTAAAGAACTAGTCAAGTGGAAAAGAGCCACTGCATAGTGGAATATAACAAATCCACTTAGTACTGACTTTTCAAAATATTCTTGGCTATGAGCATCTGCTTTTGGGCTTCAAATTGACGTAATTAAATGTGAGAAGATAGAATGAAAATCCTCCACGCTGAATTTTTGAGTCTTTTTCAGATTATCCAGTAGATTTTTCCAGATTCCATTTTCTTTAGTTCACATCTTTGTTGGAGGGTTGCTGGGTGTGATTATAAGAATCAGTGCCTGTCTGCTGTCAGATGGTATTTAATTCATCTTTTTCTGTTTCTATCCTGATATGTTGAGCTAGCTTAAGTATCCATAGAGATAGGCAGCACTATTTGGTTTTCCACATCTTTATTGTTACTTCTAACTAACATGAATAAAAAAACACATTTCCTTTCGTATAGAATTACTCTCTCTTCCTTTTTAACCCAAACATAGAAATATTAATTTGGGAGAGACAATGATACATTTAAAAGAAAGCAATATCCATTCATGAAACTGCATTTTCAAGTTATGTTTGATTTTTATATCTGTTTGTGCTTTATTAGAAAACTGATCTCTCAATCCCTGTTGTTATGAGAAAAAAAAAAAAAAAAAAAAATCATTACCTTAAATATTTTCATTTTCTTTTAACTTAGGAAATTTACTCTTATGTATGTATGCAGATGTATATGCAGATATGCGTGTATTTTATATATGTATGTATATATGCTTTTTAATTTACAGCAAGGAATTGATCATTTGCACATGTCTGGTTCTACTTCGCCCAGTATTTCATATCCCCTGCAGAATCAGAATTTGTCTGTAACTAGTGGAATGCCATTAGCTCCTGGTGAAATAATTAGGTCATCAGGAAAATTTGCTAAACCTACGAAGTAAGTATATAAAGATTTTTGAGTCAGGAAAATGTTATATTTTCTAAAATTATAATGGATGAACTGAAGCAATTTATTAGAAGTGTAGATGTCAGTAAATTAGCCGACTATAATATATAATGAGAGAAAAATGCCTTTAAATTATACCGAAGGCAGACTAGGTATATGTAAAACACAGAAAGAATAGGTATTTTATATTATTTATTTCACAAAATAAAATAACAATATGATCTAATATTTGAGTTATGGACATCATTTTAAAGTTAATTTTACTGTAATATAAATTGTTGTTATTAGAAATGGTTATCAAATCTCAATTTTTCTTGGTTATATATGTAAAGAATATCTGGTGTTCTTGTGTATGTCTAAGCTATGTGGCAAACATGGCCAAGACTGCTGCTCATGAGCAATAAGCAACCTTTAGCTCCTTAAATGCAGCTACCTCGCAACAAAGTGTTTTATTTTTTAAAATAGAATTGTATTTTAAAGTTCGGGCAATGGCATGCTTCTTTTAACAGTCAGTGATTTAATTTCTCACACACATTGCATTATGCATGTAATAATTTAATTGATGTCAAACTGCCTGACATGATCCAACTCCATTTTAACCAAATCAGTTTTTTCGCATCAAATATTCCAGTGAATGGGTCTATACTATGGTAAAAAACACAAGAAATAACATCTTGAAAGGCATCTTTTTTTTTAGTCCAAAGGGACTTTGTCCCTGAGGGACTATTGTTTTCGTTTTGCGATTTTGCCTCGAAACACTCTAAATGTCTGTTTCACTTTTCAAATTGTTGCTACCAAATGTTAGAGTCCTGCATTATATTTGAAGAAATTAAATAATGAAAAATCTGCATAAATGTATATTTCTCACATTGTGATAAAACAACAGGACATAGACCCATCGAATTTTGAATGACATAACTGCAAATATGGGCATTTGGAAGCCCAAATTTGGAATTTTATTATCGATTTCATATTTTGTAAAACTTTAACGAATTTTTGATTAACAAACTTGAGGATTTCAAAGCGAGCAATGGCAACATTGTACAGAAAAAACATTTTTATCTCCAGTGTGTGCGATTGTGTATCAGAAATTCTAATAATATGGTCAATTTAAAATTATTTTGCAATATTGCTCTTGAACTGAATTTTATGGTTTAAGTCCGAAGAATATGATATTTTTTAAAAAATGCCCCTTTGGACGTAATTTAAAATCTTAAACCTTTCAGATTCCCCCCCCCTTTTCTTTTCTGCTGAAGGGCTGTATATATTAAAATTACATCATAGAAGGCTACACCATATCTTAAATAAAGAATTAAAAAATTTGTATGGGTATCGATTTAAAATGTTGTCAGTGTTGATGCAACTAGTCTTCTTTTTCATCTCCTGCCTTCAAAATGGCTAGCCTCCAAAGATTTTCAGTATCATGGACAAAATCACTTTGTTATTTTGACCAAATACTGATGAAATAGAGGGTGATATTTAACCCTTTAACTGTCAAGTTATTTTGATGATTTGGGTACACAAATTGTCACATTTTTTTATTGCAAAAATCAAATGTTTAGTACAAAATAAAATATATTTAAGTAGTTAAAAATTGATATTTCAAATTACATGGGTAAAAATTTTAAGTTTTTGTAGCCACTGCATATTCGGATTGAGGCGGCTGCCACTCAGTGTGGTAAGTGGTAAAGTTTCGCTTCTAGTTGGGAGCATTATTTTCTAAAAATTGAAAAAAAAAAAAATTGATTATTTTTCTAAAAAATAAATAAATAAAAGTGAATACCTATTAGTAGTTCAGTAATTCAGTCTTGTGTGGTATAATTGGAAAAAACACTTTTCCAAGCACAAACCAACTCCACAATCACTACACCAGAATCATGTGCTTCCTTCCATATCCTTTTTCCAGTTTTATCCTTTTTTCGAACAACACAACTTTGCATTGTCTTGTAGGCTCACATTTCACAGGAGTAGGAGGAATATGGGATATAAAATGTCGTTCAGTAAGATGGGACAGGGTTATCTATTGTAGGTGGCCTGCCAACATTCTTTTTTCCAGAAGCTGCATCATTATATTTATGTAAAAGCTCTTCTACAACTTGCATTCGAAATTCTAAAAATGTAATACGTTTCCCAACTACATTTTTATAGAGCAAATATGAGTTCCAGAGTACCTTGTCTAGTAAATGTAAAAATATCTTTTTATAATATTTTTTCTGACGTTTTCGGATTGTTGGATGAAAGGATATTTCCTAATCACAGCGATCTACACCACCCGTAGTTAGACTGTAGTCAGAAACAATCTTAGGCTTGAGTATGTCTCCATTTTTTTATTTTAGAAGCTGACCATGGAAGTATCATGAATACTGCTCATCAAACACTCATTCTTCATCTTCGATTGAAGAATATAAATCATCTACATAACTTTTCAAAGAACTGGGCGCCATTTTACAACAAAAAGATCCCGTGCACTTTGAACCAAAGAACGTATAACCTCTAACCTTTAAAATCTTCAGTAAAGTGCTGTCATCTATTGAATTGAGCACACGTTAACTTTTCCCGAGATGTAGTCGGGTTTGACAGAGAGATGAAGCCGAAATAAACGTCTCCCGATATATGTTCGGGTATAACAATACGAGGCACTCAAAAACAATTACCCGTAGTTATACTCGGGCGTGACATTTTCGAACATCAGTGCTATGCCCGAGATTATCTCGGGCATGACAGTTAAAAGGTTAAACTACTACTCATAAACCTCTACTCATAAGAATGTAACAAAAAAGAAGCCATTTCAAAAGTGTGTGATATATAGGAAATATAAAAAAGAAGATGATTGCTGATAAAGCTGCAGAAATTCATCATGAAAATCATTAAGGTCTTCTTGAGGCAATAAGAGAAAAAACATTCAAGACATTATAAAGGATGAAATATTTATTTATTTTGCAGAGAATTTAGTCTTGTTTTCATGTTAGGCATTAGTCTGTTTGATTGAAAATGAAAGTTTTTAACTTATTTCTAAATATGGATAATATTTTTAGCACTTGAAATGTAAAAGGATAAAATTGCATGAAGCACAGCATCAAAACTGTAAGAAATAGTTTGTATACATGTAATGAAACTGTGGTTTGAAGGTGGCAGAGTGGAAAGCATGATGATGCAATTTAGCACAACATATCTTGAAAAAATCACAATCTTTATTTTTTCCATGCATATCAAATAATCCTTTTTCAGACAAGATGTTTCTTAATAACATTTGAATAGAATAACTCCCATTTTGAAGTACGATGTCATCTTAAGCAAGTAAGCAGCAGCATGGTTTAAAAGCGTCCTACCAAGAAGGCTGAAGTTTCAGTTCACAGTTTTGGTTTATAATTAATTTGGTTGGACAAGAAGTATCTGCATTAAAACGTTACGTAAGATAGAAAAGTCTGGAACCTGTGAGAAGAGATGAATTTAGGGGCGGATTACCAAATTTAGAATGTTAATTTTGAGGTCGTCAATTATTTATTTATTTTTTTTTAACAGCTATCATATTTTATTATATCTTACATACATATCATTCTGAATTAAAATGCAGATTATTCATATTTGTCATTTATGTATCTCTTTTTAATGGCTAATTGAAATATTTATTAACCTGGCTTTACGACATTTTCTTTTTAAATGCAGAATGCAGTTTTCAAAGGAATTGTGATGAATATTGGTCATAAAGTTTTCTTTTGAAATAAATGCTATTCAAATAAGTAAAATCAACTATTAAAATAAGTTATATAAATTTACATATTTAAAATACACAGTGCAAATGAATAAACAAATTTTTTAAAATGACTGGTTGAAGACTATAATTCAACTACACAATTCTAATGATAAAAATAAAATTCTTAAGAAGGGAAAAAAATCCGAAAATAATAGCTGTAGTTAGAGATAAGAACTGAGAAGTTCTCAAGTCTTTCACTTGGTGGAGAGTGAAAAAAGTGTTCCAAACTATATTTTGGAATTCCTCGGTTATGTCTCAACCGAATTTTAGAAAATTTGGTTTTTAGGTATAATTTCAATCATAGAGTGAAAATATGGAAAAACTTGACATGTCGGCTCTGCTCTTATATTCGCCCTAATATCACCAAATGTGGTGATATCAACGACTTCATATAACAGGTAGATGGCTCACCCACAGAGAATTCGTCTGCTAGGGTGTCTCCAACATATACCACGTGACTTATGCTCTTGGAGAGTGATAGCTTAGGCTGTTCATCGCAAGTTTAGCTTGCTTTTGATATGGCAGGTAGTGCATTTTATTTCCGTTTGCTGGCAGTTGGTATACAATGGCCTCGAATTAGGTTATTCGATTTTTTACAATTATTTTTAGATATAACTTAACACCTTTTTCCTGAATATTTTATCTGTATTTTTAATAATCGCTTTAAATTATTTGCGCCATTGTTTAAGATGTTTAGGTTAAATAATTTGAGGAAGAAAATCTTAAATAAATAATAAAAAATTGAGAGGGAAACTTTTTTTTTTTTTTTTTTTTTTTTTTGAATAATGTTTAAATATTAATTGCACTACTGTTATAATATTTGAGAAGGTAAAAAAATCTTGTTTATTTTTAATGCATTGCATCCTAAAGAGAGAAAAGAAAATCCCATTGTAATATATGTATTTATGCAATTCATGGAAATATATACTTTACAAACTGTTGACTTTAAGCGGGAACTATAAATATTACTGTCCAAACTTATAATATGTTTATGATACAAAAAGATAAATTATACTGAAATCTTATTACAGAAAAATATTTTACTTTTTTATTTAAGTAAACATAATTTTACTTAATTTAAAGTCAGAAATAGTTTTTGGAACAATTTCATTTACCTTTGACATTTCAGTGTTACCAATAGTACTTGCAATTTGGAAATTTACGATAGTAAATAAAATTTTTATTTTTAAAAAGATCTTTCACTCATTGTAAATGCCCATTTTTTTCATTTACTTGC